TAATACAATCTATATTTATATGAACTTAAGAAACAGTATTTTCATAAAATAAGTAAATTTTTATAGCCATTTGTAGATTTATTTATGGATAAAATCAAGTAAATTTAAATTTGACAAAAAAGAGATAAACCGTGAAAAGTTTGGACAAAGCAGGGAATTTTGTTAAACAAAAATAGACACCGTGTTAACTTTTGTCTTTACATTGCTCAAAACATCTCTTAAAGTTAAATCTAGAGTTAAAATGAAAAAACGTTTTAACATGTAAGTTTTTGCCTAGTGGCATAATATGCTTGTATTGTATCACAGGTGACTTACAATTCTTGACATCCTGCGAAATCATTTTAATCATAAAAAATTTCCATTTTCAATATTTCTGAACTTCTTGAAAATATTAGATTGATTTGATAAATAATTTTGAATTGCACTATTTTGACATCAAAATATTAATCAGAGACTCAAAAAATACTACTGAATTATACTTCATATAGTAATTAGTATCGATTTTTTGATATATTGAAAATTTTTTTATATTTCTTGTAGGATAGTATTTTTTGCAAAATTATGATAAAATCTGACTAAATAACATATAATATTCATTTTTAGAAAGTTTAAAAGCTATCCATTAAAAATTGTGAAATTTGGAAATTTTCCATTTTTCAAGTTTTTGAAAATATTTTTATATTTACATCTTAGTTGTAGAATAGTATTTTTTGAAAAATTATGCTAAAATGTGACCAAATAACATGTAATACTCAAATATAGAAAGTTTAAAAGCAATCCATAAAAAATGTAAAATTTTGAAATTTTCGATTTTTTGAAAACATTTTTATACTTACATATTAGTTATAGGACTTTATTTTTTGCAAAGTTATGCTATAATGTGACTAAATAACATATAATACTCAAGTATATAAACTTCAAAAGCAATCCATGAAAAATAAAAAATTTTGAAATTTTCGATTTTTTGAATTTTTTGAAAAAATTGAATATCTCCCGTTCTAATTAATATTTTTTAAATCTGTAAATTTATAAACCTTCCTTGGGTCAATACCTAATAACCTACCAAGTTGGACTTAAATCGATTCACATGTTTTTGTGTGATTGGGGTACAAAGTTTTTGTGACAGACAAACATACATACATACATACATACATACATACATTAAATTTTTTAAGAACATTTTTGGAATCTCTGATGTCCATAATAACTAATCATGTTAACATTTTGAAGTTTTAAGCAATGTACAGACAGACATCTGATTTTATTAATAAGGATTGAAATTTTGACGAAAATTTTTTTTTAAATTTTTGAACATAATTCAAATTCTGCGAAGAATTTTTGTAACTTTTGAAAATAATTGAATTTCTGTAATCATTTGTAACTTTTCCAAAATCCAATTTTTTTTAGTATTTTTAACTAAAATTCTTCTATCAATCTAGAATTTATGAAAATTGTAAAAATTATTCATAAAATAATTTATAAATCATAATTTTATGATAGTTTTTGAAAAATTAAGTTATTTAAAAAGAAATTATTGTCAGAAATTGAAAAAATTGAAGGTTTTGTATTAAAATTCGAGGTAATTTCATAGTTTACGAGCCAAAAAGGAAAAAAAATTCAGAGTTTTCTCATGAATTTTAAAAATCCAATTTTTTCCAGTACTTTTAGTAAAAATCCCTGACTTTTCCCTGAATTCCCTGACTTCCCTGACCTGTGGCAACCCTGTTGTAAACGCAAATTCAATATTAATTATGAAATATTTTGAATTCTAAAAATGTACTTTTTCCAGCACTTTTAATAAAAATCCCTGAATTCCCTGATATGTGGCAACCCCAGGCTTTACAGTGCCCCTAAAAAGTATTTTAGGGGAAATAGGGGACTGAAAATTAAAAAATAGGGGACCATAAAAATTGGTTAAATAAAGATAAAAATATAGGTAATTTATTTAAACAGGGTTGCCACAAAAATTTAACTTCATTTTTCCCTGACTTTTCTCTGATTTCCAAACACAACTTGGACTTTTTCCCTGACCCTAAAGAATATTCTCATTCACTCTAAAAATTATTAGATACTCAAAAAAATGTTCTATTAAATTTACTTACAAATTTCTTCAAAAGTAAAATTATTCGAAAACGTCAATAGTTTTATTTAAAATAAATATTTAATCATTTTTTTTTCATTGGATAAAAATCATTATTTTATTATTATAAGAATATTGTTACTGTAATTTCTTCAAAATTATTTGTAGAGGAGAGTCTCCAGTTGTGAGACACCTCCAGTTGTGAGACAGCCAATTTTTTTTAACATGCAATATTAAAAAGCCGATTGGTTTATATAAAAACATTTCTTTTTATATGAGCCAACTTTTTCGTGTACGCCGAAGCGGATATATAAACTGTTTTTGTTAAATACCAACACTGTGTGTGATAATCGACTAAAAAGCGTTTTTTCAATAAATGCAAAGTACTTTTTGTCCAAGTTAATTAATTGGAAAAGGTAAATGTAATGCATTTTCTTTTAGTGTTTTCCTTATATTTTGTGATGCAATATTGCCTTGTTCCAATCTACGGTTGAAAATAATTTAATTTTCCTTTTTCAAAATAGCGCCGATTTCTGGGTGTGAGACACAGCATATTACCAGTTTGTGAGACGGTGTTAACACCCATCTGGGCAGCATAAAAAATACGACTTTGCAGGCATACTATTTAAATGTTGTTTTGATTTTTTTTCGAGTATTTTTGGGCATGTCAAGTGGAAAAAAGTCAATTGATTCAGAAGAAATCAATTTTAATGCTCTTGTTGAAGCTATTAAATTGTGTTTATTTGATAGTCATATTTTGGCGAATAAATATTATTATTTAGTATATAATAATATATATTATTAATATATTTAATTATTTCTACTAAACATAACGTTTTATGTCAAACTTATTAAATTTTAGCAATTTTTAATGAGTGTCTCACAACTGGAGACATTTTTTTTTTAAAAAAAGCGATGTGCTCGGAAAATGTATCGTAAAATTTTTTGAGTTCATCAAAACACTATACTTTCTTTTAATAAAAGTTGCGTATTTCTGTTACCTTTCGAGCGGTGTATTTTATTTACAATTTCGTTTACCCGTTTACAATTTACGGGTCAAAAATAAAACCCGTCTCACAACTGGAGACTCTCCCCTATCATTTCAATTCAAATAACATTTTCTAGAATTTTTAACTAAAATTCTACTTTAAATCAATAACATTAATTATTATTCAATTAAACTTCTTCAAAAAAATTAATTCTACAGAATTGTTAGTTAAAAGTACGAAAAATAATAATTTAATTCTACGACAAATTAATTATTTAAATACAAAAATAAATAATATTGAATGTTTCTTAAAATTTAATTTTTACGAAAAATTGTATTAACAACTTTTGAAAATATTTCATTTCTTTTAAGGAATTTAATTAAAATTTTAATCAAATTTATTATATTAAAGAATTTTATAACAATTCTTTAAAATAATTGAAAACATTTTGAAGAATTTTATTAAATTTTTTAAAAATAATTGAATTTCTGAGAAGAATTTAAATAATAATTTTTGAAAACAATTGAATTCATGAGAAGAATTTTATTAAAATTTTTGAAAATAATTGACTTCTTGAGAAAAATTTTTAAAAAATTTGTGACAATATTTTAATTATTGAGAAGAATTTCCCTATCTATTTATAAAGATAATTTAATTCTTGACCAGAATTTTTAAAAAATTTTTAAAATAATTTAATTTCTGCAAAGTATTTAATTACTTTTCAAAAGAATTTTTCTTGTGATGAATTTTGATATTTATCAAAATAATTGAATTTTGGAAAAGAATTTTATTAAAATGTCCTGAAAACACTCTACGTTATTAAAATTCCTTAGAATAATTGATTTTATGGGAAGAATTTATGCGTTTTTGTTGTTTATCAAGCTAATTGAATTCTTTTGCAAAATTACTTAAAAATTTTTGAAAATATTAATTGATTTTCTGCGACTAATTAAATGTTATTTATGAAAATATTTAAATTATTGCAACGAATTTTATTGTTTTATTGAATAATTGAATGTTTCTTAAATTGAATTCTTTCCTCAAGTTTTAATAAAATTTTTAATAATAATTGCATTTTTCAACGAATTTTTTAAAAATTTTATTAAAAATATTTGAAATTCTGAGATGAAAATAATTGAATTCGTAAATCAAATTTTATTATTTATAAAAATAATTGAATATTTTCGTAGAATTGTATCAAAAAGTTTTTTCTATAAGTAAATCTGTTGATAAATTTTATGAAAATAGTAAATATTGAAAATTATTGAATTGCAAATATCTTTTGAAAGTAATTGAACTTTTGCGCAAAGATTTTTATAAATTTTTGAAAATAATTTGATTTTCGGCGAAAAATTTTGCTATTTGTAAAGATAATTGAATTCTTGACGAGATATTCGTGAAAAATTTTAAAAATAATTGAATTTCTTTGAAGAATTTTAATACTTTTGAAAATAATTGAATTCTTGAGATGAATATAGTAACTTATGAAAATAATTGAATTTTGTAAAGAATTTTATTAAAATTCCTAAAAATTATTGAATCAGAATTTCTGTGAAGAATTTTGTTATTTATCAAGATAATTGCATTAAAACTTTTGTAATAATTAAATAATATTAAAAAATTCATTCTTGTCGGAAATAGAAAAAATTTTTAAAGGTTTTTTTTTTTTTTTGAAGGTTTTGTATTAGAATTAGTGGCAGTTTCATAGTTTACGAAGCTAAATTTGGTGTGAATTCATCATTAAAAGATAACAGAAAAAAATAGGGGAAATTTAGGGGAAATTTTCAAAATAGGGTACGTTTAGTGGCCAAAATTAAAAAAAGGGGACTTTTAAGGAAATAGGGGACAGACTGTGAAGCCTGCAACCCTGTAATATTATGAAATAAATTATTTATAAGAAGAAAAAAATGAAAGTTTTCCAATAGACTCACCTGCAATCACGGCAGACGTGTTCAGCAACAAACAGATATTCCTCCTTATTATTCGAATTTCCCACTTTGTCCGTTAAATTCATACAAGGCACAATGGACAATTTTGGAAATGAATAACGACTCGCAAGGAAATTCACGTCCTTGTTGTGATTAAACCAATGGCTGTAGAATAACGATCCAATTCCAAAGAACATCACCTTACAAATATTACACAAAAACGTAACATGTCCTTGACGATTAACCAATGCGTGCTTCTCCAAATGACGTCGCATCTCAGGCAGTGAATTCAATAATATTTTACAAGAACTGCAGAATAATTTCGGCAAACGACTCGATCTGTCTCTATTACACAATCTATTGACTCTATAATGAACCTCGAAGCATTCCAATCGTCGAAAGAGTACTTGACAAATTTCGCAGAGAAGTACCATTTCAATTTGCATATCGTCATTGACTAATGTTGACGTATCATTACTGTGACATGGACACATTGTTATTTTCTGCACCACCGTCTCCTCTTTCTCACTCGCATTCGTATGCGTAATGACACTGGTTGCATTCTCATTCTCGTTTCTCCTCAATTCCTCGCTGGTCGATGAGCACACTGTGATTTCCTCGTTCTGAAGGGACATTGATTCCTCGGTGGAATTATTTTTACAGAATATTTTGTCCTTCCACTGGGCATATTTATTCGCCCATTCATTTTCCGAGGCGACTTTTTGCTCCTTGCGGATTTCCTCATCCCTCTTGCGTATTGTCGCGTCGTGGAATGCCTCCTGGAGTTCACGTTCCGTGTGCTGATAGATGTGATCGAAGAGACTCTCCTTTGTCTCGAGGGTTATTGAACAAACACCACAGCGTAAATTATTTCTCGCCTGCGGTAACGCCTTCTTTTTAGCACTCACGTTCGATTTTACACTCGATGATGATCGATTTTTATTTGCAGTCTTCGATTTTGGTTTATCATTTTGATCGTGAATCAATTGAATGTGGAGATTTAGATTCTTTCTACACTTGTACTGATTGCCGCAGTGTTCACATTTTAGGGGTTTTTTGTTTTTGGAGTGACAACTGGCTTTGTGTAAGGAGAAGGAGTGGTATGTTGGAAAAGTTGTTTTGCAAAATTTGCACGAAATGAATTGTGGGTCTTTGATTATTTCCGCCTCGGTGTAGGGATCACATGGGACGAATTCGATTGAATCGCGTGATGATGGGGCTTCTACTGAGTAGCGTGTGGGATTGGATTGATCGGCATTATCGTGGGCACTGTTACTCTCGTCTGAGGCCCAGTCTTCGACGATTGTGCTGAGATCTTCTCTCTCGTTCTCGAGGGCGATTACCAGTGGATTCTCTTCTTCTTCGTCGTCATCCTCATCGTCATCGTCGTCGTCGTCGTCGTTTCTATCCATTGCCAGGGCTATTTTATCATCCTCGTCAATATCGTTGTCTGTTGTGTTTATCTGTTCAGTGAAGGCGTTGAGAATTTCGTTATGTCTCTCCCTTTGGCGTTTTACTTGAAGACGTTTGTAGACGTTGAAAAACGATTGCGATTGCTTGTCGTATGAGAAATTTGAGTTTAGCAAAAAATCAATGTACTTCTCCTCGAGAATTTCAATTTCCGACGCTGAATAATCTAAATCCAGCGCACCGACCAGAGTTTCAAGACGTATTAACAATACTTTTGGATAATTTTCAATATTGTAGGAAATTTGCTTTTGATTGTGATCCTGATTTCTATTTTCTACTGGATAGTCTTGATTTTCTTGTAGGTTGTTCAAATATTTGGCAACGTTGAGCATTTCACCGTTAAATGTATTGATGCGAATGAAATCTTGTGGATAATTTCCGAATTGAAGGAGCGCCTCCTGGGGTATTGGTTCACTCGACATTGTACCGTCCTCATGCAGAAGATAATATTTTTCATTCTGGAAATTCTCCGTCTCTTCGTGTTCCTCCTCCTCCTCCTCTTCCTCCTCTTGATCTACTGGATCGTCTTCGATTTTTTCAACTTTAATGCCTCTATTTCTCCATCTAATCGCGTAGGGATTGTTTAGCATATTTTCTAATCGTGTTAAAATTATTCGCGCTTCTTTCATTGGGGTTTTTGGTTTTTTGTAGAGATAATTCAAAATTGATGATTGATTCAATTCTAAATTATTATGACTACTTGTTCGTGTTTTCGATTTACTGCGGATGATTTTTTTCTTCTTTCTTGGCAATTCATTTGATATTGAATCATCACTGGTGGAAATTCGTCGTTTCTTTCTTGGTTTTTCATCCTCGGTGCTTGTTTCATCGCTACTTGAAATACGACGACTTCGATGTTTTCGTTTCACTTTCCACATACTACGATTATTGAACCATGATGAACCTTCTTCGGTGCTGTCGTCACTTTTTCTTGTTTCGTTCGCTTCAGTCTTCTTTGTGGGTGGTGATGAATCGGATTTTTTTCGTATTAAATGATAGTCTTGGGTTTTTGATATTTTTGGACCAACTTTTGTTCGGGAATTCTTACTACCACCGGCTTGTGTGCCGCTGTCGTTTTGCAAATTTAACATTGTTTTGTAGCAAGATTTACGATTGTAGGGAATTGTTCGTCTACAAACGCAAGTCTCTTCTTCATTCTTCATTGCCACCTCTTCATTCTTCATTGTCACCTCTTCATTCTTCATTGTCACCTGTTCATTCTTCATTGTCACCTGTTCATTCTCAGAATTAAGTTGTTTCTCGGATTCTGTATTTTTTGTCATCACTTTTGATGTAGAAGGTGATTCATTGCTAATTTCGTGTTTTGCAATTTCCTTATTGAATTCTTTACTATTTGTAATGGCGAATCTTTTTTGATTTCTTAATCTATTTCTATCGAACGGTATCATACGACAACAGCCCCAAATGTGTGTTGGTCTCATTTCGGGAGAATTTTGACTTTTATTTCCATCCGAGGATTTTTCAATTTTTGGCTTTTTTCTCTTGTCAACGTAACCCCTTTGCCATCGATTTCTATCTAGTTTTTTAGTTTTCCGCACATGATTGTGTTGCTGTTGTTGTTCATGATGATGTTCATGTTTTTTTGTTAGTCTCGTTATTTCCTGCTGAGATAAACGTTCTAAATTAATTGACACAGATTTACATTGTTTCAATAAATCTTTAACATGTGCAGCCTGTTCCATTTTTCGTTTCATTGAAGCTGGAGCTGGACGGTTAATAGGTGGTGCTTTTCTATTATTTACAACTGGTGGATCACTTACATTTTGCCAAAAATTCATCGGCAACGGCGTTTTCGAGCGTGTCATTGGTGGATCGATGTGATAATCGTCGGAGTCTGACATTTTAATATTATTTTCTTTATTTAATTTCTCGTTATTGCTTTAAATAATTTTTCTTTTTTCCAGCTATCTTTCCGAATGTCTGGAACTGAAAAATTAAACATTTTTTATTTTACTATTTTCCCATTTGAATAAAAGTACAAATTTCAAATAAATTGCAAAATGTTGTGAAAAATTAAAAAACTCTAAAACTAGGCAAATAAAATAAACAAAAACCAAACGAATGAAGTAAACAAAAAACATGTAAATTATTTAAATAAAATAAGCAATAAGCAAATAAAATAAGCAATAAGTAAATAAATAAAAAAATCAATATGTAAATACATAAAATAAGTAATAAGAGAATAAATAAAATAAGCAACAAGTAAATAAATAAAATAAACAATAAGCAAATAAATAAAATAAACATTGAGAGAATAAAATAAGCAGCAAGAAAATAAATAAAATTAACAATAAACAAATAAAAAAATAAGCTATAAGTAAATATACAAAACTAACAATAAACTAATAAAATAATAAGTAAATAAATAAAATAAATACAAAAATTATTTTAATAAACATTTAAAAAATGGAATAAATATGTAAACAAATAGAAAACAAATTATTTATAAAATAAAGTTTAATATTGTATTAAACATAAACAAAATAACCAGAAAAAGTAAATAAATGAATTAATTCACAGTTGGAAAATAATGATCCTAAAGTTCTGAACGTTCAAATGAACGAAATTTATTTTTTTCATCTTCAAATTAAATTTTTATTAAAATATTTTGTGTCACTATGAATAAAATTAATTATAAAGTTTCTTCATATACAATATTTAAGTTTTTAAATTTCATTACAATCAGTAATTGATGAAAATATTTTTAATAAAAAGTGTTTCGTTCATTTGAACGTTCAAAACTTGTGAAACGTGGAAAATAAAATTAATAAAGTATATTAAATAAATATTAATTTACCTGTTTTATTTATCAATTAAATTAAATTATTTATTTATTTTCATTTATTTAGAAAATTATGCAGCTAAATTGTAAAATAATACTAATAAATAAATGATAGGTACTTTCTTATTTCAACAAAATATTGAAGATCAACGAAGTTGAAGTCCACAACGTTGATCAACGAAAAAAATTTGTTTCCTCTATTCGAATATTATTTTTAATTTAATATTTAATTGTATAACAATTATTATCAGAACATAAACATCAATCTATTTTTCTAAATATTTTTGTGTCAATATTGTTGCAATATATTTTATTAATTTACTAAGTAAACAATTTTTTTCGTTGATAAACGTTGTGGACTTCAATGTGCGGTGAAGATCAAACGTTTAAAGAAACTCCATTTGAAACAAAGAAAAATATTTTTTCAAAAATTTATTAATAATTTTGTCTTTAAAAATGACTAACTAAATATTAAATATTAGATATTCTGGATTAATTCTATAAAAAATATATAGAGAAATACCAAAATAATAATAACGATAAGAATAAAAATAACAAAGTATTGAAATTTTAAGTCGTCACGTGAAGTGACATTCTGTATTGAAAAAAAAATCTTTAAACTTATTTTTATTAGATAATACAAATATATCAAATTACAATATTTTCTAGTGTCGGCTAAGAGATTTTTTTTTTAATAATAAATACACATAATAATAGGATTATGAAAATATTAGGAGAAAAAAATTTGTCTTAGAAATAATGAAAAACACGAAATTTATTTCTTTTGTGCATTAGGATTTTAATACAAAGAAATAAAAAACTTTTACATAATGTGAAAAAATGTGAAAATAAATAAATAATTTTTAATTGTTCCAAAATATATTTAATTTCTCCTATTAACTTATTCGCAATTATTAAATTTGTCAGAAAAATGTACAAGTTGGCACAAAAAAATTGTACGTAAATTAAAATTAAATTGACAAATTTTATAACATTGAGCAATTAAAAGTGTGTAAATTATCAATTTTGAATGATAGAGAAAATTTTTTATTTATTTAAAAGAATATATTAAAATAGAAAAAAATCTTTATGAGAAATTAAAAGGACTGAGAACATTTTTCACCCTAAAAAAATGGCGTCCTCGACAATTATGACGCCATTATATGTAAAATAGAGTTAATTTTGGGAAATTATATTTATTTCTAAAATCATAATCAACATGTTTAATTGTTTTTCATTGAAGAAAAATGAAAAACAATTGAAATGAACATTAACAATGAATAGTTATTGTACTGTTAAGAAGGTTAAAAAAGTGTGGTTAGAAATTAATTTCAAGCCGAAAACGTGAAAAAAATTTTAAATCAACTTACTTGTTTAATTAACAGATTTGAATGAGTTCAATCGATGTTCTCGTGTGTTGAAAAATCACTTTTTCATATTAGTTTTATACTTTTTTTTAAAATTTATTTTCCACTTGGAAATTTATTCATTGTAAGAGACACACTGTACCACATTTTTCCATATGTATAGGTTCACTTGCAGCATCTCACACACAAATATGACAGCTGCAGGTGTTTTTTTAATCTAAAGTCACGTACATTTTCCAAAGCGCCAAATGAAACGGAAATCACAAAATTTCATTGGTTTTTCTCCTAGAGAAAGAAAATTTCAAACGAAATTAACTAATCAAATTCAATGTAATAAATTTAATTGTATCAAAAATTCGTATTTTGAAAACCTTTTTAATGATAAATTACCAATTTTTTGATAATTATTTCAAGAAATGTGATTTTATTCTCACTGATTTAGAACATGAGGCACAGTTCCATCAGCCAATCAGAATAGAGTTGTTTTTCGCGGATTGTTTTAAATTAGCGTAAAAAAAATTACCAAATTTGTAAATTAGTGGAATTAGAATAATATTTAATTTGTAAATATTTTTAGATCATTAAATCATGTTTTAATGTTTTCATTATTTGTTGTTATAAATATTTAAAAAAAAGAATTTTTTTTATTATTGGGAATAATTCGAATTTCCCGCTGTAAGTTTTCAAAGTGAAAATAGCTCCTATTCTATATTGCCGACTGACATAAATGACAATCTTCATAGAGTTGCCAGCAGTAATATTGTTTTTCTGACAACATTGACAACAACAAATTTTTTAAGATTTAAAAACATTGGTGAAACAATTGTTTGAACTTTTCTAAAAATAAATAAACTCTACATGAAACTAATAAAATCAAGTTGAAAAAATGTGGAATTTTTTTTTGTTATTCAGTGTACGAAAAAAGATGGAAACTTTATTCTATATTTTATAAATTACCCTCAAATTCATTGACAAAAGATTTATGTAAAAAGAAGATGTTTATTTGGTAATTAGTACCTATAATTTTTTTTTATAATATTACAATAATTTAAATGCAATTTTTCCAAGTGCATGTGAGTGAAAAAACTTGAAAAAAAGAAAAAAAAAATTATAACCTAAAAAAACAGTGCCTGCAATCTGTGCGTGTATCCTGTGTGTATATATAACGGAAAAAAATCCAATGGAATTTTATATTTCAATAATTTAGTTTCTATTGAGAGAAAAATGGATGAAGAAAATAGTTCGCCTATTATTTCCGGTGATGTCGAGAATATAATCATTAAATTAGAACCTTTAGAGGAATTTTTTCACGATGAGGATTCATCAACAGGAGATGGTGTTAATTGTTCAAATGAAATTGATGAGAGTGAAGAGAAGGATTTTCATGACGAATGTCAAGAGCCTGATGAAATTCAGTCAAATATTGTTCAAATACCATTTTATTTGGAGAATTATTTTGCTGACGATGACGAGGACGATGATGATGTGACTTATGATATTGATCAATTAATTACACATCATATTGAAACAAATCGTTTAGCGTGTTCCTATTGTAGAATAATTTTCCCCACCGAGAAATTGCTGCATGAACATCTTATTCTTCATATTGATATTAATCGAATGGGTTGCAATGTTTGCGATAAGGTACGATTTCAATTATTAATGTTTTAAACAAAATTCAAGTACCTATAATTTTTTTTTTTTACTAAAAGTGATAATTTTTGTTTCAGGATCTTAATATCGCGGAAAAGTATCAACTTCACGTTATGGCAATAACGCGTCAGAGTATTTACTTTTGTGATTTGTGCAAAAAGTCTTGTGCCGGAGTTGTTCGATCCAAGGTTTGATTTAATTTTTTAAATTAAAATATACAAATTTTACCTGCAGGCTTTGCACTCATCTAGTAAAACCTACTATTTACTACTTTTTTTACCTTATGCTACTATTTGGGTACTTTTTTCAGATTTCAGCCACTAAAAACTACTATTTTTGTTTTTTTTAGAATTTCCACTACTTTAAATTCGCTAATACTAGAAATCAAAAAACTATTCTTAAAAATTATAATCAAATTCTTTTAAAACGATTCAACAGGTTGCCACCCAACCTGAAAAACCTAAAAATGTCAGGAAATTTTATAAATCTTGGAAAATTCAGAAAATTTTGATCGGAATCCTGGGAAATTACTGTTTTCTAAAGTTATTATAATAGGTAATTAAAATTCAATCTCCGTAAAAAATTTGATTGAATTGAGTAAAGTTTTTAAAAATAATTGAAATTTTGCCAAAAATTTAATTAAAATTTCTGAAAATAATTTAATTTTGGAGAAAAATTTTATTATTTATAAAGATAGTTGAAATTTTGAAAAGAATTTTTTAAAATTTTTGACCATGATTGAATTTTTGCGAAGAAAAATTTTGAAAATAATTGAATTTTGATAAATTATTGAAATTAATTAAATTTCTACGAAGAATTTTAATAAAACTTTTAAGAAGAATTTCATTTTTCGAGTAATTTTATTAAAATTGTATAAAAAGTAATTGAAATTCTGCGATGAGTTTTATTATTTATGAAAATAATTGTAAACCTATAAAGTTTTTTATTATATTTATAAGAAAATAATTGAATCTCTGTAAAAAATTTGATTATTTATGAAAATAATTGAATTATTGCGAAGAAAAATTGTAAACGCAACTCTTTTAAAATAGAATTAATTTCTAAATATTTAAGAAAAATTAGATTTCAAGAATAAGCACAATAACTTAAGAAAACAATAATTTTCCAGGATTCCCATCAAAATTCTCTGACTTTTCCAGGATTTTTTAATCCTGCGTTTAATATTCATGAATAAAATGGAATTCTTAAGAAAATTTTTACAAAAAGCGTTTTAAATAATTGAATGCTGTTTGAAAATTTTATGAAAATAGTAGATATTAAAAATCATTGAATTGCAAAAAGTTTTTAAAAATAATCCAATTCTTGTGATAAATATTGTTATTTTTGAAAATAATTGAATTTTGCAAAGAATTTTATTAAAATGACTCAAAATAATTGAATTTTCGGGAATAATTTTCTTATTTATCGACATAATTGAATTCTTTCCAAGAATTATTTTTGAATTCTTGGAAAGAATTTTATTATATCTAAAAGAATAATTAAATTATTAAAAAAAATGCAATTAAAATTGGATTTAAAATAATTGGTTTCTTTCGAACAGTTTTATTAAAATATTTGAAAATAATTGAATTTCTGGGAAAAATTCTAATATTTTTGAAAAATAATTGAATTCTTGGAAAGAATTTTAAAAAAACTTTTTTTTTTAAGAATAATTACATTTTTTGAGCAATTCCTGTAAAAATGTATTAAAAAGAATTGAAATTCTGTGATGAATTTTATTATTTATGAAAATAATTGAATAGTTGTTAAGAATTTTATTAAAATTTTCAAAAATAATTGAATTCCTGAGAAGAATTTTATTATTTATGAAAATAATTGAATTATTGCGAAAAATTTTATTAAAATGTTTAAAAATAATTGAATTTCTGTGAAAAATTTTGTTATTTTTGAAAATAATTTAATGTGGCAACCCTGAAAAATTTCTCAGGAATTCAATTATTTAAATAAGAATTTGCATAAAGTTAGTCGAAAGAAATCAATTATATTTAAAAATTTTTATAAAATTCTTCGCAAGAATAAGAAAGAAGTAAATTAATATTTTTGATGAAAATTAGGAAAAAGTCTGGAAAATAAAATATTGAATGGAATTTTTGTCAGTTCTGTAAAGTGTCTGAAATGAATTTTTTTGATCGTCAAGTTTAATTTTTGATAGCTATTTTTTTACTACTTTTTTTTAGTTTGAAAGCTACTTTTTGCTACTTTTTTGAAATTAATTATTGAGTGCAAAGTCTGTAATTGAGTTTTCTTTTTAAAATATTCTGAAAATGTGAATTTTTTCCACAGGATCAAACGCGCACTGAAGGAAAGGCGTACGCTTGTCACGATTGTGAAATACAAATAACTGGAAAACCATACATTTTGGGTGGAGCAATTCCAAATAAACAACAAACTTGGAAGCATTCAAATTGCAAGCCAATATTTCAATCAATTAAAAAAGAAGACGGAAATCTCGCGATTGAAATAAAATTAAATGGCTCGAAGTTAAATCCAGACATCTTTTTTCACAAATGCACATATTGTGACGCATTTTTTGCTCAATCCGTTACATTAACGAGGCATTTGCGCGTCAGACATAATGTCACTCGTGACATGATGAATGTATTAAGAAATTCAAAATTAGCCTACGAGGAATTAACAATGAGTAATTTTCAATTTATCGAAAATCAAAATGCATTATCCGAAAGTGAAGAACTCACAAAATTAGAGACAGAAGAAGTTAGTGAGGAAACAAAAGCGGCAGAAACAACAACAACAACGACAACAACAACAACTACTACTACTGCAATAACAACTGCAACAACAAAAGCAAATGATAAGGAATGTTTCGAGACAAAAGTAACAACAACGACTGATGAATTTAATCAACGCGATGACGTTTCCTATTCAGAGAATTACAATGTCAATAAACATTTACGTGAAAAACATAAAAAGAAACGTGCAAAATACACATGCAATACGTGCCTAAAACAATTTCGCTTAAGACGATGTTACAATAGTCATTTAAATTTTCACGAGACTAGAAAAAATCATCAATGTGATATTTGTGAATTGGAATTTTTCACGCGTTACAAATTGCAGCAGCATATGAAAATTCATAATCCAGAGAAAAAAGAGAGTGTGACGAGGAAAAAGAATTTATACAAATGCGAGAAAAAAACTTTAACCGATCGTAGTCAAAAGAGAAACTTACGACGTAGTCGTTTACGTAATTCGTGATAAAAAAGAAAAAGTAAACAGTGAATTTTTTTTTTTTATTGTGCAATTTAGAAAAAATTACAAATTTCTTTTTTCTATCATCGTTTTTTTTCTATATATATATATATTTCTGTGAAGAAAAAAGTTAGGAAGAAATTTTTTTAAATAACTGAATATTTACATAATAAACATATATACGATAAATTTTGTACATTCTTCAAAGTATCCGGTGTTTTTATTTAGCTATTTTTTATTTTCCGAATCTGGAAACTTCATTTTCAAATTGTTCATTGGCGATAGGAAATAAGGATTTTCTTACAATTTGTGAATATTAGAAGAGATTAAATGAAGTTGAAAGAACAAAGTAGGTATCTTTAACTTCGAAGTGTCTTTAAATTTATCGAAAAAAGTTTGTGAGTTTTATAATGGCAAATTTTACAACGTAAATAATGTTTTCGGATTTAGTTTCATAAAACATTTTTAATTTTAATAGAATAAATAATAATAATTACTATTGTTTTGCATTTAATACATATCTTTTTTTTTTTTTTGAAAATATTTTTCTAATCATTAAATTTCATATTTTTCCGTCTAGAAGAATTTAATTTCTTCAGTTATTAAAACATAAGCGTTGATAAATTCGCCATTATGAAATTTATTTACAATTTTGCAATAAGAGCAATCGAGTTTAAAAAAAAGACAAACAAGTTATAAATGTGTTTTTCATTCCGGAATTGATAAACATAGCACACTAAAAAAGTTTTGAGAAAACTTTATGCTACATTGATTAAAAGTGAATGTTTCTATTATTTTTAGTATCATAAAATAAATGTGGGAATGAATAAAAATAAATATGGGATTATTACATAATATATTTATTTATTTGACAATTTTTACATCCGTTTTTGTTTATTTTGCGTAATAAATTTGGTTAATAAATTTTACCGTAATATAAGGCCTCGTAAAGTTTATTACGCATATTTATATTGAATTTAATGTAAATTTTAAGTATTCTACATTTTTCCCCAAAACCTTTTTTTTTTTAATTAATTTTCAAGTAAATTTTGTTTTATTTAAAAAAAATATTTTCCTATGCAATGAAAAATAATGAATAATTTATTTAAACTTGCAAAAAATTAGAAAAATTTTATTTTTGATTTGAAGTGAAATTTTTCTTTGTTTCAATTCTTTAGCTAAAATTTATATTTCATCAGTTTAATAATTTTTATACTAATGTCTATAGGTACTTTAAAAATAAACAAATTATCGAAAAAATTTGTATGTTTTTTTATAAAATGAAAAAAAAAATTACAATTACACAACTGTCCGTGAGTATCAGGACGCCCCTTTTTTCATGAGTGGAAAAATGCTTAAAACGTAGAAAATAAGATTTGGCTAGAAATGAGCATATGGGGATTTTTGGAGACACTGAATTAGAGTATTGGGTTAAAATTTTATAATTCGAAATGGCGACTTCAAGGTGTCAAATAAAAATTTAAAAGTTTACGAATGTGGTTATAAATAGTTATTTGAGTCTTTTGGGGTTTATATTTTTATATTTTTATATATGAGGCATTTTACGTGAAATTTCCTAAGTTGAAATTTCAACTTCTTGAAAAAATTGATACTCAGGGAATTTGTTGTTCTATCAAGTAGAAATGTCACCCAAAAAATATTTTTGCTTTTTTCGAAAATTTGGAGGGGGTAGAGGGGGGTCAATTTGACCAATTTTGTTAACACCGACTACTTTGTGAATTTTTTCTGAACATACTTGTAATGGGAAAAATTTGTTAGAATATGTTTCTGAAAGGTTTTTTCATCCTCTTTCCAATGGTGCATTTTATTTTTCAATATTTTAAAAATTTACCCTAATTTTTGATAATTAATATTTAATTTTCAATTTCCCGAGAATCGGTTTGTTTTTTTTGAAAATAAATTATTGCAAACGAAAGCTGAGGTTTTTTCCTATCGGCATGTAAATTTTCAGAATGCCCTTTTTTTTATTTTTGAGTTATTAAATTTCAAAGAATAAATTGCGTCCCGGGCGCCTCGTCTTACGCCGGTTGCCACGCGGCTCAGTGCAACCGCGACGCAATTTGTTCTTTGTAATTTAATAACTCTTACTCAAAAACAAAAAAGGGCATTCTGCAAAACTTGCCGATAGGAAAAAACCTCAGCTTTCGTTTGCAATAATTTATTTTAAAAAAAAACGGACAGATTTTTGGGAAATTGAAAATTAAATATTAAATTTAAGAAATTTCGCCTCTAGGATCCATATATATTATTAATAATAGAAGATGTCAGATGGTATCAGAAAGAAATAATGATGACGTTTTTCCTTTCTAGCATCTTTATTATTTTAGTAGCCAACGTTTCGGCCTCTAATCGAGAGCCATCATCAGGGCTTTTTTGATGTTATAAAGAATATTTAAGAAATTTTTAAAAAAACGTAGAAAACAATAATAATAAAAGAAAGAGTGAGAGAGAAGAAAGATGATGTGTGTTGATTATTTGCAGGCTTCTTTGATGATCTCAATGGATTCGGAATTATATTAGATGAAGATGTTGTTTATCCAATTTGTAGATAAATTTTCGATCCTTTTTTTCTCGGAAAATAATGAATTTAAGAAATTTCGCCTCTAGGATCCATATATATTATTAATAATAGAAGATGTCAGATGGTATCAGAAAGAAATAATGATGACGTTTTTCCTTTCTAGCATCCGAAACGTTGGCTACTAAAATAATAAAGATGCTAGAAAGGAAAAACGTCATCATTATTTCTTTCTGATACCATCTGACATCTTCTATTATTAATAATATATATGGATCCTAGAGGCGAAATTTCTTAAATTCATTATTTTCCGAGAAAAAAAGGATCGAAAATTTATCTACAAATTGAATTAAATATTAATTATCAAAAATTAGGGTAAATTTTTTAAATATTGGAAAATAAAATGCACCATTGGAAAGAGGACGAAAAAACCTTTCAGAAACATATTCTAAAAAATTTTTCCCATTACAAGTATGTTCAGAAAAAATTCACAAAGTAGCCGGTGTTAGCAAAATTGGTCAAATTGACCCCCCTCTACCCCCTCCAAATTTTCGAAAAAAGCAAAAATATTTTTTGGGGCACATTTCTACTTGATAGAACAACAAATTCCCTGAGTTTCAATTTTTTTCAAGAAGTTGAAATTTCAACTTAGGACATTTCACGTAAAATGCCTCATATGTATAATATATTTTACATATATTATATTTATATACATTTACACAAACTATTTAAAACACCGCTTTTAGTCGTATCCGGAGTCACGAACTATTTAATTTAATTACTATTATTAAATTTTTTAATATAGATCGATTTTGAGTATTTCACAATGTTTTAAAACATCGGACGTATTAATTCCTCTGCTTTAAGTTTTAAGAACTAATTTGAGAACTTTAAATTTTTTTGGTCGCCATTTTGGAGCCGCCATTTTGAATTTTTGATTAAATATTTGGATTTAGAGACCTCAAAAACCCCCGAATGAGCATTTTCAGCCAAATTCGTAAACTTAAAAAAATTTTTGGTCGTCATTTTGAAGCCGCCGTTTTGAATTTAAAAATTTTAACCAAATATTCGAATTCAGCGACCCCAAAAACACCCAAGTAAACATTTTTAGTCAAATCCGTGAACTTTTAAATTTTTTTGGTCGCCATTTTGGAGCCGCCATTTTTAATTTTAAATTTTTGACTAAATATTTGGATTTAGAGACCTCAAAAACCCTTGAATGAGCATTTTCAGCCAAATTCGTAAACTTAAAAAAAATTTTGGTCGCCATTTTGAAGCCACCATTTTGAATTTAAAATTTTCAATAACGGATTTTGATTCAGCGATCCCGAAAACCCCCGAGTAGGCATTTTTAGCAAGATTCGTTAACTTTTATATATCTTTTTTTTTCGATGCCGCTATAGCGGTCATACACACTGGGGGCACGAATTATTTTGGCCTCTATAGACGTCAAACACTGTGAAGCGGTTAAAAAAAAGAAAAAGTTACAATAGCCTGAAAATTATTATTATAAATACAAGAATGAAAAATATTAAATGAATTACTTCAAATTGTTGAATTATTAAATGAAATTATCTAATTAAATCGTAAAAATAATTATCAGGCATTATTCGCCATTATTCTTCATTGATAGTTTAGATTCAACATTTTTTTCTAATTTTTTTCTCATTTGCTAATTATTTTTCGAAAAAAAGTATTTGAAATTTTTTTTAGACTTTGAAATATTGTTAACTTATTTTTGTTATCCATTTCATTTTTCTTATTTTAAAATTATGTCTTGTTTTCGAATAACTATAATTTTTCAATTTTTATTTTATTTACATTCGTATATAAATATTATTGTTTAAAATAAATGTTTATTATACCATTTTTATTATAAGTACTGCTAATTATCATTATGTTAACAAAATTAATATTCAAAATAAGTTTTACATTATTTATCATAATATTATTGATTAAGGAATGAAATAATAATTGTGAAAATGAAAATTAATATTAATATGAAACTTATTTAGTAAATAATAAATATTTTGCAAAAATTACGGGCAATGGTGAAATATACCCTTAATAAATGGTTAAATAAGATACCCATGATAGTTTTAAAAAATATTAATTTTTCGAATTGCATTTTTAATCTTTTCACTATTTTTTAAATTTTCTTTCAAGTGGTTAATTATTTTTCAATAAAAAATTATTTTTCGAATTTTTTAGACTTGGAAATACTTCTCTACTTAATTTATTTTTATCTATTTTATTTTTCTTTCTTTTCAACCTAAATAATTATTTTCCTCTCCAAATTCTTCTTCATCTGAAATTACGTCATGTTTAATAATTTTAGAAATTGTAATTATTTATCATTATAGCTACCATTTATTTACTATTACGATAATTTTATATTTTTTAATATTAACTGACTTTTTAAAAAAATATTTCGGTATAAAAAATTGTGGATTAATAAATTAAAGGAAAAATAGGAAAAGGAATTTTCGTATCAAGGATTAGATTCATTAAAGAGATGAAATGTTTTAACTAAATAATATTTTAATATATTAGATAAACGTCACACTGTGTACAAGTTTGATAACGTATGTAAAACTCAACTTCAACGAATTAATAATAATTAATAACCTTTTTTTTATAATAACGATTGCCTGCGAACTCAAATAATTCACGTCTTTAATATTCCAGTTTCTTTACATTGGAAATAAAAAGTCCCAGGTATATTATTTTCTTTTTTTTTGTAATTTTACTCCATTACATTACGTTTATTATATAGAAATTTAATTATACATGAATGAACATTTTTATTTTCTTTTTCAATATAGAAATCGTGATTCAAATCTTTCATTTAAACGATAAATAATAAAAGAGTAAAAAAAAATTCAAAAAAAAAACTAAAAAATCAATACAATAAAATGTCAGTCATTAAATTTTTAAAATCATAAAAAAACAATCCATAAAAAGAATTTTTCTTTCTTTCATTTCAAGATGAACAATCTATAAAGAAAAATTACAAAAAAAATTTCGGGACTAGAATAATGATATTTTTTTTGTAAATTCGAAAATTTGTTTCCTTCACATCCATACATATAATATACATACACACCAATATTTTTCTAGATATAATTTGCCGTTATCACAGTTTGAATCACGACTGATACTTTTACACAATTCTTTCTTTTTTTTATTCTAGAAACTGTCTTTTAAAACTCTGTACAATTTTTTCTTTTTCCTTTCATTTTTAAAAACGAATAAATGCAGTTTTATAAATATAATTTATCATAATTTCAAAAGTTCTATCGTGAAAGTTGCACTTGCTGAGAGTACAAAAATAGTTGGTGAAAATAATGAAAATTTTTATTTTATTATTTTTTTTTATCGAACACAATATATTGTTTTATATAATTTCTATCTCTCTTTCAAAATAATATCGAGAACATTAAAATGTCTAAATTAATTCTTAAAAAGAATGAATGAAAGAGTAAAAGAAAACTTAACCATAATATATTTGTGTTGATAAAAAGAAATTAAAAATTATTATTTTCATCCATCAGACATGATTTAAAAAGCAAATTTTTATCCGAAGTTAAGTCTTGAATTCACAACCAAATGAGAGAAAAAAATTCGAAAATTTAATGCATCTCATAAATATAGATTTCTTTATTGTATAACTTTAAGAAAATAGAATCACAGTATGAAAATGAAAAAAGGAGATTTCGAGAAAGTAATAGTTTTTCCACTGACAATTAAGTAATTAATTAATAACGATTAATATGCGTACTAATTAATTAACACTAAATAACGATTGATTAACTAAAACGTAATAATTAATGAATACCTAATTCATTAATAATTGATAAAAACTTAATAATAGTAATAATTAATACAATTAAATGTAAATATTATCTAATATCGATAAATAACTGACTGATTATTAATTATTAATTACTTAATTAAAATCATTAAAAATTGTTAGAAAATTTTACAAAAAATGTTTTCATGGACATTTTTCTTTTTTTAATTTCCAATGTGATTCTTTTCCTGTTTTAAAACTAATTTTCTCAAGGGAAAAACAAATTCTGATTTTTTTCGGGAACAAAATAGTGAAAAACTAATTTGCTATGTATTTTGACGGAAATTGTTTTTCTTTTGAAAAAATGTTATGTTAATGCAAAATATCGATTCTTTTCCATACATTTCCTTCAGAAAAAAATAATAAATATAAAGTTATATTTGTTTTATACACGTGTTATCAATAACAAATATTTGCGAACAAAGATTTATAATCTGTATAGCAAATATCCCTGTGCGAAATTTGTCACTTTATCAAGGATCGCGGCCTACTCTCCTTCTTTTCTTTCTTTATTATAATACAATAATTAATTATTATACAAAAGCTAAACCTTTATTTACGTGACACTTTTCCTACTATCTTGCTGGAATTGTCGGCATTTTCTCTAGAAAGTCTTGTTCAATGACAGTCTCTAATTGTGCGACGTTTAGAGGACCTTGAGTATCTCCGGATCTATTGCTAAGTGAGGTGAAAAAATTATGAAGATCTTGTAATGTACGAATGCTGTTTGACGTTAATAATAATTCGCCGACACGTGCTAAACTTGACTGCGAATTTTTTTCCTGAAACTGAGAAAAAGAAACAAATTAGTTATTTAAATTCTAAACTATTATAATAAATAAATTATAGTACATAATTTCAAAAAACCAAAATTAAATGCGAAAAATATTTTGCGCAATCAATTTTTTGAATTTAGAAAATCTATATTAATAATCGTTGTATTCTGGTAATCGGTTCGCAGTTTGAAGTTAGTTGCTGTTTGCTTTTTTGTTTCCTAACTTTTTAAATAATTTTTCTTTTTAAATGTTTAAAATATTTCAAAATTAATGTACAAAAAAATCATTGAATTCTTGTAAAGCATTTATAAAAAACTTTGAAAATAATTGAATTCATTTCAAGAATTTTATCAACATTATTTTCAATAATTAAATTCTTTCGAGAAAATGTAATTAAAATTGTATTGAAAATAATTTAATTCTTGGAAAGATTTTTATTAAAATTCTTTAAAATAATTAAATTGTTTTAAAGAATTTATTTCAATATTCAATATAATAATTATATAGTTTTTTTTATAATTTTTACAGAAAATTTTAAAAGTAATTGAATTTTATGAAGAATTCAATTATTTTCAATAATTTTAATAAAATTCTTTGCAAAAAGTCAATTTATAAATAATAAAAATCTTCGTAAGAAATTTAATTATTTTTATATAAAAAATAAAATTTTTATAAGAATTTCACTTATTTTCAATACAATTTTAATTGATTTCTTCGAAAATTTCAATTATTTTTAAAAATCTTGTAAAAATTCTCCGAGAATTGAATTTTTCACAGGAGTTTAATTATTTAAAATACTTTTAATAAAATTAATTTCAAGAATTCAATTATTTTCATAAATAATGAAATTTTCGTTGGAATTCAATTATTTTAAATACAATTTTAATTGAATTCCAGGGAAAATTAAATTCTTTTAAACAATTTTATTTGAGTTTTTTTAAATAATTATATTTTTTCTTAAAGAATTTCATTAAATTTCGTAAAAATAATGTAATTTTTTAAAGTAATTTTAATTGAAAATTTTGAAAATAATTGAAGTTTACAAAGAATTTTATTAAAAACTTTGAGAACAATTGAATTGTTTAGAAAATATTATTACAATTTTTAAAAATAATTGAACTTGTTAGAGAAAGTTTATTAAAATAATTTTGAATATAATTGAATTTTTTCCTAGAAATTTTATTAAAATTGAATTGAAAATAATTAAATTGTTTCGAAGAATTTTTTATCAGAATTGTTGAAAAAATTGAATTTTTATTAAAACTTGAAAATAATTGAAAACTTGAAAATAATTGAATTTAAATAATATTTTTTAAATAATTGTATTCTTTCGAGAAATTTTATTAAAATTGTATTCAAAATAAATGAATTTCTCCGAAACATTTTATTATTTATGAAAATAATTGAATTCCTTTGCAAATTTTTTTTTATAAAAATATTTTAATGCTTGCGAAAAATTTAATTATTTATGATAATAATTAAATTCTTGAGAATTGTTTTGATGAATTTTATCTGAATTTTTGAAAATAATTGAATTTTTTTGAAGGAATTTCATTAAAACTCTTGAAAATAATTGAATTTAAATAATATTTTTAAAATAATTGTATTTTTTCGAGAAATTTTATTAAAATTGTATTGAAAATGATTGAATTGCTCTAAACAATTTTATTATTTATGAGATCAGAATAATTAAATGCTTACGACAAATTTAATTAACATTTTTGAATAATAATAAACAAGAATATTTAATATTATGTGCGAAAAAAGTAAATTCTTTAAATTGAAAATTGAAAATAATTTTAAATTTTAATATTTTCCGCAATTAATTTTTGATTGTAGAAAATATTTTGAAATAAATTTAGTATTTGCCGCAATCAATTTCTGATTTTTAGGAATTTTTTGTAATAGATTTAATACTTTTCTCAATAATTTTTTAACATTAGACAATGTTTTCCAATAAATTTAATATTTTTTTCATTCAACTTTTGGCATTAGCAATTTTTTTCAAAATAAATTTTCAACATTAGATAAAATTTTGAAATTAATTTAATATTCTCTACAATCAATTTTTGAATGTAGAAAATATTTAAAAATAAATTTAATATTTTCGACAATCAATTTTTGCCATCAGAAAATATTTTGAAATAACTTCAGTATTTCTCGCAATCAATTCTTCACTTTAGGGAATTTTTGAAATTTTAATATTCTTCTTAATAATTTTTTAACTTTAGAAAATATTTTGAAATAACTTCAGTATTAAATCCAGATTCTTATACATTGACTTATTGTTTTTATATAATATTCTTAATGGTAAAATTTATTGTCCTTCGATTTTATCAAGCATTAAATTCGCAGTTCTAATTAGGTCTACAAGAAATTGCTCTTTTTTTAATTTAAAATTTCATAGAACCAATTATGGCCTAAATGCTGTTTTTTATAGGCTGTGTAAAGAGGGAAATGATGTTATGAAAGATTATGATATTGACTATTTTTAATACTTCCGAAATTAGCTTTAAGTTAGAGTTGCGGAAAATTCTCTTCTCAAATTATTGTTATTATTGATTATGATTTTAATGTAAGGGCATCAGCCTGTATATTCTTAAATAAATAAAAGTATTTCTCGCAATCAATTCTTCACTTTAGGAAATTTTTTAAGTTTTAAAAATTTTTCTGAATAATTTTTTAACTTTGGAAAATATTTTGAAATAAATTTACTATTTTTTGCTTTTAATTTTTGACTTTTAGATTTTTTTTTAAATTTAATATTTTCCTCAATCAATTTTTGACTTTAGTGAATTATTTCGAAATAAATGTTATATATATATTTTCCTCGATTATTTTTTAACTTTGGAAAATATTTTGAAATAAATTTACTATTTTTTGCTTACAATTTTTGACTTTTAGATTTTTTTTAAATTTAACATTTTCCTCAATCAATTTTTGACTTTAGTGAATTATTTCGAAATAAATGTTATATATATATTTTCCTCGATTATTTTTTAACTTTGGAAAATATTTTGAAATAAATTTACTATTTTTTGCTTTCAATTTTTGACTTTTAGATTTTTTTTTAAATTTAATATTTTCCTCAATCAATTTTTGACTTTAGTGAATTATTTCGAAATAAATGTTATATATATATTTTCCTCGATTATTTTTTAACTTTGGAAAATATTTTGAAATAAATTTACTATTTTTTGCTTACAATTTTTGACTTTTAGATTTTTTTTAAATTTAACATTTTCCTCAATCAATTTTTGACTTTAGTGAATTATTTCGAAATAAATGTTATATATATATTTTCCTCGATTATTTTTTAACTTTGGAAAATATTTTGAAATAAATTTACTATTTTTTGCTTTCAATTTTTGACTTTTAGATTTTTTTTTAAATTTAATATTTTCCTCAATCAATTTTTGACTTTTAGATTTTTTTTTAAATTTAATATTTTCCTCAATCAATTTTTGACTTTAGTGAATTATTTCGAAATAAATGTTATATATATATTTTCCTCGATTATTTTTTAACTTTAGAAAATATTTTAAAATAAATTTATTATTTTTCGCACTCAATTTTTGACTTTAGAAAATATTTTGAAATAAGTTTAAAATAAATAATTCTTGCTTAATCAATTTTCACTTTGGAAAATATTTTTCAAAAAGTAATAATAAACAAGTAATTAAAAAAAAATAAAAAGATTAAAACACAATCTCATTCATGGCGAATTTATATAGAAAGTGAGAAATTGAAAATTTTGAGAGATGATTCGAGTAAATATTCTTGGAAACTTTCCAAAAAAAGAAGGGATTGTAATTATTTATAACTCGAATGAAAACACTTTAAATTTTGAATATTTAGTTTCATATTTTCTCCTTTAAACACGTGTTGTTTAATACTACGTTTAATTGTAATTTGTCAAAAAATCATCAAATTCATTAAATGTCAAAAAAGAAATATTTTAATGAAATGAAATTTTCAATTTCAAACCTTTTCCATCAAATTGAATTAAATCAATTTATTTATTAAATCAATTTTATTAAATTAACAATAAAAATAATAACGGTAATTATGGTAATAATGTTCAAAATAATAATAATATTAATAAAAATAAAATATAAATAAAATAAAATAAATTAAGAAGTAAAATTTTAAACAACGAAAATTGTAAATTTATTTTCAGTTTAAATGGTTGCTCAAGGGTTATTGGCTTAGTTGCAAAAATAAACTTTGTACAAAGTTTGCAGTTCAGGTGAATCTTTCAGTTTCTCGTGATCTTTAATTCTTTACAGTTGAAATTTTCAGTTAAAAAATAAATTTGACAGTTAAAATAGTAGAAATGTAATTTTGAAGGAACAATGTTTGTACAATGAATGCAATTGAAGAAGAGTTTCTAAATATGAACCGATGATGATATAGCTTTGTTGACGAATTAAGGCTCTCGTTTTATAAATTCATTGAGCTGGTTCATTGTCTTTAATGTGTATCGTATTATTAGATTTTACTTCCTTTATTGACGTCTAGTAGAAAATCTTCCTTTGTAATGTTTAAATCAAGCGCCACTATGTTCCTGATTCTCATGGGTATTTTATATTTAACCGATGCCCGTAAGTTTTGCAAAATATTTATCATTTCTTTTTATTATTTTCCAAGTATTTTTTCATATTAATATTAATTTTTATTTTCACATTTCTTTTATTCCTCAATTATTATTCAATAATTATGATAAATAATGTAAAACTTATTTTGAATATTTATTTTTTTAATATAATGACAATTATAGCAGTATTTATTTTATTTTATTTTTTATGAAAAAATAATTAGCAAATGAGAAAAAAATGAAAAAATAATAAAAAAATTTTAATTAAATTTCGAAAAATATAAATTACTCTTTTTGAATAAGTTGAAAATTTTGTTTATTTCTAGAACAAATTGATGACTCTGACTATGATGTAGAATATTACGATGATTTTTCAAATCAATTAGAAAAAAATGTTGAAACTAAACTGTCAATGGAGAATAATGGCGACTTTTACATAGTTAATGAAAAAGTGGGAAATTCCGAATTCTATGAAACAGGAATTAATGATAAACGAGAATTCGATAATCGAAATATTATCGACACGTCGGCAAATAAATATTCACAAATTTTCTTTGTTGATTCTTTAAAAACAGCAACATCATCGCCCAAGAGAGAAATTTGGCACGAGAATGAGGAGAAAATTTATCGTTACACAAAACATCGAATTCCCGGTTACGATTATGATGAATTGGACATATTTGGCGATAGTGCTGAACGGAAATGCAATGAGAAATCAATTTGGACACATTGTCTTTGTCAATTCACTTGCGAGGAGCAAAATTCCGTTGATTGCTTTTTGCCATGTGAAAGTGGATGTGAATGTAGAGAAGACTTTGTCTTTGACAAAAGAACAGGAAAATGTGTCTTGCCATCGGAATGTGAAATGCCTGTCGATTATTTTTACGATTTCGAGACATAATTTTAATAATTCAACAATTTTAAGTAATTCATTTAATATTTTTCATTGTTGTATTTATAATAATAATTTTCAGGCTATTGTAACTTTTTCTATTTTTTAATTGTGGATATTATTTTGAAAAAGAAAGAAACGAAACATGTTTTGAAAAATTTTTTCAAATTTTTACTCCTACAGAATATACTTTTCTTGGATAATGTTAAAAAATATTTATTTTTACTTCTAGGAATATTAATAGAATTTGGTGAATTTAATTTCAATTTAATACTTTTAATTTTTGTCAGCAATTTTGTTTATTTTGAAAAATAGTTGCAAATCTTTTCGAAAATTAATTTCTTTTAAAGTAGAGGCATTAGTATTAAAATTATTAAATTGTCGAAATAAATTAGAGTTTAAAAATTCAAACAAAGTAGAAAATCAAGAAAAAAGTTATTTCACATAGTAATTATATTTCTTCATTATTTTTCCAGTTTCATTTCTTTCGAAAATGTAACAATTATCGCACTGACGTCTCCATATTAAAAATTAAACATTTAGTTTTCAAAAAAGATGAATTTAGAATTACCTGAAAAATTTTAACTTTTATTCACTTGAAAAAATAATTGTTTATTTTAATTGAAATTTATAAGATGCCTGTCGATTATGTTTACGATTTCAAGACATTTAATTTTAGTAATAAACAACTTTAAATAAAAATTAAAAATAATATATTATATGTTATTACGTAAGGCGAATTAATAATTTTAACTTTATTGTAACTCTTTCTATTTTTCTAATAATTGTTAGATTCTATAGTATTTAGAAAGAGAGAAAGAAAAAAAACATGTTATGAGAAATAAAATTTTACATTTTTACTTCTAGAGATATTTTTCTTGTCCTATGAAAAAAAATGTTCATTTTTATTTGTAGGGTTATTAATAGAATTCGGAAAATCGAAGGATTTGAATTAAAATCCGAATGAAGAAAGTTAAATAGGTATGTTAACAATATTGTTTCGAGAAATTTTTATGTAAATTTAATTTTAATTTGTTACTAGAGCTTTTGTCAGTATAAGAAATTTTCCATTCAGTCTAAATATAAAAAGAAAATTTTCTTTTTGCAAATTTTATTTGAAGCAAACAATTATTTTCCCAAGTTAACTAAAATTAATAATTTTTAGGTCATTGTAATTTTTTTTTTTTCATTTTGGTGAAATGTACAAATTTTTTTAAACTGGAGAAAAAAATTATTAAATTGATAAAATATATTTAAGCTGAAAAATTTAAACAAAGAAAAAATTCACTTCAAATCGAAAATAAAATTTTTCTAATTTTTTCACAATCTTTTCAGTTGAATTTATTTTGACACTTTAATAATTTGTTGTGTTTGCTTTTTAGTTTCTTAACTATTTTATAATTTTTCTTTTCAAATATTTACAATTTTAAAATTAATGTATTGAAAATCATCGAATTATTGCAAAGAATTTTATCAAAAAATTTGATAATAATAAAATTCCTTCAAAGAATTTTATTATTTAGGAAAATATCTGAATTCTTGCGAAAAATTTTATTAAAATTTTTAAAAATCCTAATTGAATTCTTTCAATTTTTTTGACGAATATATTTAAAAATTATATTGAAAGTAATTTAATTTTTATATAGAATTTTTTAAAAATATTTTGAGAATAATTGGATTATTTTTTAGAGAATTTTAAATTCTTGTTGAAATTTAATTTTATGGAAATTTTTGAAAATAATTTTAGAAAATAAATTAAATTTATGGAAATATTTAAAAATATGTGAATTTATCCGAGGAATTCAGTTAAAATTGTTTTGAAAATAATTGAATTCCTGCAAAGAATTTTACTATTATATTTATAAAATTAATTGAATTCTTGGGAAGAATTTGACTATTTATAATTAAATAATTGAATTTTTTCGATGGATTTATTAAAATTTTTTTAAAAAATTGAATTCTTTCAAGGAATTCAATTAAAATTGTTTTGAAAATAATTGAATTTTTGTAAAGATTTTACTATTTAAAAAAATAATTGAAATGTTTAGAAGGATTTATTAAAATTTTAGAAAATAATGGCATTCTTTCGTGAAATTTTATTAAAATTTTTGAAAATATGAACAGTAATAATTAATTTTGTACTTAATAAGTGAATTTTTTAAATTTTGATTATGAAATTATTTAAAAAAATTTATATTTGAAAATAAAAAATTTTGTAATTTGCATAACAATTATAAAGTGAACACCATGTTTTCGAAAAAATATTGTTTCCTCAAAATAGAAAAAATTATCTGAAAATTATGAATGAAAAAAGTTTTGTTCTTTGATTAATTTTAACCTACTATGCATAAAAAATTAAAAATTTTATTAACTTGGGATAATTGTTCAGTTCAATTAAAATTTTTAAAATTCAATTTCTTTTTATTTTTAGATCGAAAAAAAAGAATCTTGTACTGACAGAAGTTTAATTTTCAAGTTGCAATTAAAGTTAAGTAACATTAAAGAATTTTCGAAACAATTTGTTAGTGAAATAGAATTATTCAAAAGTGTGAAAATCAAATTAAAGAAAATTCTTTTAAATTAAATTCTGTAAAACTACAACTATAAATTTTAGAATTTAATTATCGTACCTTATTATCCATGAGTTTTGCTATCCTCGTAATATGTGGGACAAAATCAGAAGATAAATTATTATTTTCAGTGCCAATTGCTGCAGCGTCGCCAACAAAAGCCCATTTATACCTAAACAAGATAATTTTTTCATTAATTTAAAACAAATTATTATTATTAATATTATTATTACTATTATTATTGAAATGTAAATTTTACATTTTGGAAATCGTTATTTTTGAAAAATCGATTGGTAACAGAATTGTCCATTTTTTTATTTTCTAAACATTCCACTGTGAATTAAAAAATACTCGACTTACATTTGGAACTGAGGAAGTCGATGAGCCGGTAACAAAAGTGCCAAATCGAGTAATTTTGCGGCTGCCAATTGCAGTTGCAACCAATGTGGATGACCGTGAGCTTGTAAACCATTACTCGCGTTAACAGCCCATGAAGAGTCCAAAGCTGACAGCAATTTTATATGTGAACTGTTAAATAAAAAAACGAAAGTTTTAAATTAATAAATCTGTTATTAGTCATCTTAAATAATATTTATTTAATGAAATTCAAATTTAAAAAAAAATCTTTTCTCCATTTATCGCAATAAAAATTTAATGACAAACAAAAACTCGAAAGTTAAATTTAATTTTTTTTCAAGAAAAGAAATTTCGAAGCTAATAAGAATCACAGAAGCCGATGGAACATGATTTAAATTTTTTTTTCATTTCAAAAACCTACATAATAACAATTTTAAAGAAAAATTTTTTCAATTTTAAATGCATAAAATTTTTTCTTCAAAGAAATAAAATTTTTATAAATTTATCTTTCATTGTAAATTTGTGTGGAATGACAAATTTAATTTTTATTAAAAAGTTTTTTCCTGTTAGCTTGTGCTGGTTAAATATTAATAATTATTAAATTAATTAAGTAAATTAATAAATTGCATTGTAAGTTTTGTGCCCACTTTCATGCTCAATTATTATTACTTAAACAAATCATTTATTTCTTAAAATTCTGAAAGACGTGAAGATATGAATATTAAAATTTTGCCATCTGTAGGAATAATAATTGATTTCTTGAAAAATAAAATATTTTCACTTTTACTTAGAAATATTTTTAACGTCTTGAAATTATTTATTATTTAAAATAATTTCTAATGATAAGAAGTGAATGAAAAAAGCGCATATATTGGGAAATAAATGTTCATTTTATCGAATTTCATGAAGGTTTTCAATTACCTGCTCTGACGACTGCCATCCCAACACCAATCAACCAACATGGTAGCACCACAAATTCCATCAAATCGCGGATGCCAAAACAGAGCCAAAAACATCACTTCATTAGCTATTTATTTTTGTTAGTGGGGAATTTTAACATTAAACATCGATAACATAAAAGCGTCAAGAAACTTCAATTTCATCAGTTTATTTGTTAGGTTGAATCTATGAGTTTTAATATTCTACTAAAATTATTATTATTATTCAGGGCTCGAACCAGTGAATGTATTTGAAAATACGGACTTTACGGACCAAAAATAAAAAATTACGGACCAATTACTAACAAAAATATAACCAGACCGAGTCAAATAAAAGAACATTTTACTTAAAACTATAAATTAAACTTTTTCATAACTATAAAACATGACGATATCGATCGGAGTAATCGATTTCTTCATGTTTTATAATAATTAAAGATAACCGAGTGATAAAATTATTATTTTATATTATAAGACTATTGTTATTGTAACTTCTTCAAAATTATTTTCATCATTTCAACTATTTTTAATAATTTTCGAGAAAGTTCTTTAACAATTCTCAAATCTATTTGTTTACAATATTCAATTTTACAAAATTTCAATTATTAGTAAATTATTCAATTAAATTTATATCAGAAAATAAAAAACTTAAAATAATAAAAATATTATTTTAAGTTTTTTATTTTCTAATATATATTTCATTGAAGAATTTTTTTGAAGAACTTTTTCAAAAAAATGAATTTTAAAATTCAATTATTTCTAAAAATTCAGGCCTATATTGCTTTTAATATTCAATTATTATATAAAATTTCAACAGAAATTTATTTTTAAATCAATTTTTATAAGAAAATTCTACTAGAATGCAATTATTTAAATACAAAAATAAATAATTTATTGAATTTTTAAATAATTTCTTCAACAAATTTTTAAGTAATTAAATTCTGTGGACGAATTTTAATAAAATTTTTAAGAAAAAATTTTTAAATTACATTTTTCGAGGAATTTGATTAAAATTGTATTAAAAATAATTGAAATTGTTCAATGAGTTTTATTAATTATGAAAATAATTGAATCCCTAAGAAGAATTTTATTATTTTTGAAAATAATTTTTGCAATAATTTGTAGATAACTTCTCCAAAATTTAATTTTTTTTTCTTTTTTACTAAAATTTTTCCATAAATCCATTATTTAATTTTTGATAAAATTCTTTGAGAATTTTAAAATTCATTTGTTTACAATTAAATTTTACAAAATTTAAATTATTCGGAAATTCTTCAATTAAATATATATTAGAAAATAATAACTTCAAATATTACAAAAAAGAATTCGCAATTCAACTTTTTCAAAAAAATTAAATCCACAGAATTGTTAGTAAAAAATATGAAAATTTCAGATTTTCAAAGATTTTAATTTGAAACCTTTCCAAAATTCAATTATTTTTAAAAATTCGCGCTGTAATTCTTTTAATATTTAATTATAATCTAAAATTTTAACTGAAATTCAATTTTTAAACCAATTTTTATAAAAAAATTCTACTAGAATTTAATTATTTAAATGGAAAAATAAATAATTTATTGACTAATTAAATGTTTCTTAAAATTGAATTCTCATAAAGAATTTTATCATCGAATTTTTAAATAATATTGAATTCTTTCGACTAATTTTAATAAAATTTTTAAGAATAATTACATTTTTCGAAGAATTCGATTAAAATTGTATTAAAAATAATTGAAATTCTGCGATGAGTGAGAGTAATTGAACTTCTAAAAAGAATTTTATTATTTAAGAAAATAATTGAATCCCTGTAAATATTTGATTATTTATGAAAATAATTGAATTATTGCGAAGAAATTTATAAAAAAAATTGTAAATAATTGAATTTCTGTGAAATTCAATAATATAATAAATAATACAATTATTTATGAAAATAATTAAATGTTTACGTAGAATTTTTTCTTTTATTTTTTTCAAAATAATTGAATTCTTTTGGAAAATTTTATTAAAATAATACATATTGAAAATCATTGAATTGAAGAAAATTTTTAAAATTAATTGAAATTTTGCCAAGAATTTTATTACAATTTTTAAAATTAATTGAATTTCGGAGAAGAATTTTATTATAGGTATTTATAAAGATAATTGAAATTTGGACAAGAATTTAAAAAATTTTTTAAACATAATTTAATTTCTGTATAGAATTTTATTACTTTTGAAAATAATTAAATTTCTGCAATCATTATGTAATTTTTTTAAAATTCTCCATATTATATCGTACAATTTAAGAACTTTTCGTCGTTTTTAAACAAATTAAGGACTTTACTGACCTTTTTTTAAAAAAAAACTGATTATTACTCTTATTTTTGTATTTATACTTCTTATTTACTGATTTTTATTTCTTAAAATACTTTTTAACAAACATAGAAATTTTAAGTAAACTTTCTTTTTAGCAAATTAAAAATTAAAATTTTTGCAATAAAAATAAAAAAGGTATCTTTTATTAAACTCTCAAATTTAAATTTTTTTCTAAAGATAAAGAAAGTAATTAACAAAATCTTGGACGCTCATAAACAATACATGAAAAATGAAGTTAGTAAAGCAGATGCTCTGGTTTTTGCCACTAACTAAATTACAAGTCTTCAATTAAACTTACAACTTAATCTTTCTCATTAATAATTGGATCAAAACAAAGCGACTAAACATTGAAATTTTAGTTTTCTATTATTATTCTTATTTTTTAAAATATGAAGAAAAAACAGTTTATAGTGAAAATTTCCGAATAGATGAAGCAACTAAAAATGAATTTTCAAGAATTGTTTTTAAAATAAAAAATTCAATTTATAATACAATAAATAATATGTAACAATAAAGAGAGAAGAACTGTTTTAAAATCCAATAGGTATTAATGAGTGACTTTTATAGAAAAAAACAAAAGACAAAAAAAACCCCAAAAAGGATTGAGCAATTTGTGAAAACATGCAAAAAGCCTAAGACTACAAGCAATAATGAGACAATGTTAATGAAATAACAAAAAGAAAAGGTTTTTTAATTTCATACCTGAACTCTTCAGTGTCGGTTGTGAGTTCCTGTTCAATGTGAAGAAAAACTTGAACCAATTCACTAACAATAACAGGCCACAATGAAGTCGCATGTTGCGGAGACATTCGCAATAGTAAAACACGAAAACACAAAAAAACTTGAGCCTGAATTGACGGTATCACTTGAGGAAGACGTAAACTGTCCGCCAAACGTTCTGAAAAAATTTCAATTTACATTAAAATCTTAGTTTTCAAGCAAAAAAAAAATTATTTAAAAAAATAAGTGGAAAATAAAAATTTATTTTATGATTTTCAGTAAATTAACATTTGTATTTCTTTATTGAATTGCATATTTTATTTACATAATTATTTTTGTTTTCTTTATTTATTAATTTTAATTATTTATTTTATTTATTTGTTAAATTATTTGTTAAATTATTTATTAATTATTTATTTATCAATTATATTTTATTTCAATTATAAAATTTATTATTTCAAAAATTATTTTACAAAACATTAACAATGTTTGAAAATTAAGGAACACAAAATTAATTATAATCAGGCTTCGCAATCGTTAATTATTCTAAAATAAGTATCAAAAAGTTGCTTTGAGTCTGAAAAGAAATAGTAAAAATTTAGCTATAAAAGAGTTAAATTTGACAACTGACTTATATTATTAAATACTTATTGTTATTTTAGGGATCAAAATAATTTTTCCATGTAATATTAAATAAAAAAGGGGAATTTTTAAGCTTTGTTAAATCAAATTATTTTTGTTTGTTAAACTTTTTCTGTTGATTATTGGTACTTTGTATAATCTTTTGCCGTAGTCCGTAATTTTACGATATACTAAGTAAATTTCAGAAAAAAAATTAGTAAATTTCCTTCAAAAACAGTCAAAATTAATATTAAAAACTGTTATTTCCAAAATAACTTTTAATATTTTCAAAGACAATATTTTTATAAAAAATAGAAAAATTTATTTCAAAATTAGTAAAATTTACTTTAAAAATAAGAATATTTGAGCGTGTCAATGCAAGAACCGGTCGTACGCCATATGTGTATCCCTAGCGTACGACCGGTTCTTGCATTGACACGCTCATTTAATAGCTAATTGTAATGTTGGAGGGGAATTTGAATAATTTTTATAACAAAATTAACCTTGAAAATAGTAAATTTTGCTATTAAAAATCATTATTTCCAGAGTGAATTTTACAATATTATTCGTAGTAAATTTTATTTTAAATTACCTAGTAAAGTATACTTTGAATTTAGTAAAAATTTTCTGAAATTAATACAATTTGTCAAAATTTCCAAACACTTTGAATTTTTCTTAAAATTTAAAGTTATTTTATATTTGTTGCCTTTTGTGAAAAAATTTCTAAGTTTAAAGACTGATACATAATAGAAAAAGACTTTTAAGTTTCAAAACATTAAAATTTTTCCAAAGTTTGATAAAAGTAAAAATTTGTTCTTCAAGCATAACTAACAATTTTTCTAACTCTTACAAAAAATGACAACTTTTAGTTTTACAAGTTCTTCTTGAAAATAAGGAGAAAATTTATTATTTTAGGTGTTTTAGGGGATTTGATTAATTTAACGAGATAAAAAAGCGTAAAAGAGAAAAAAAGGGGACAAACTGTGATCTCTGATATTTATTTTCTCATAAGAATGAAAATTTAAAATAATTTCAATGTAAAAACTTTGAAATATAATTATTTCTAAAAATTACAACAAGATTTTATTTAAAAATTCAATTATTTTTTAGAATTTTAAATTAAATAATTAAAAAGTTTAACAATTTTTTAGAAAAATAAAAAATTAATAATTTCCGAAGATTTTAATTTATAAACCTGTTGAAATTTAATTTTTTCTAAAAATGCCTACTTATAACTCTTCTGATATTCCATTATTTTCTAAAATCTTAACTGAAATTGCTCTTGTTGTGCAAATTCTTAAAAAAAAGAAAAAAAGTCGCTTTTAGAGGAACAAATCGAAAAAATGTATCCAAATAGTAGCAAATCGTAAAAAATAGTAAATAGTAGGTTTCAGTAGACAAGTACGAACCATGTTATAATTAAAAGTTATTTAACTCAAAATTTCATTGTAATTGAAAATAAATATTTTGAAAAATAATTAAATTTAGAAAAGGGATTATAAAATTACCTTGAATTTCTGGCATATATTTATGATATTGATCCATTTCACTGCAAAGTATAACAAAAGCGAGTCTTTTCAAAAACTGCGCTCTCTGTTCGTATTCCTGTTCTTTGGATGAGAAAATACTGATACTACTGCTTTGCGCTAAAGAAACTTTATCTACAAGAAAGAAAAATTTATACTTAAAGATGATGAAATAATTTACTTACTTCATTTAAAATTAACTAAATTATTATAAAAAGTAAATTAATTAAATTCAAGACTAAAAAAACATTCTCTGACAAATTTTTAGTTCAAAAATAATAATTTTACTTTATTTTTCAAATTCAAATTAATTATCATTAACTTTAATGTAGTTTTAATACTTGAATTAAATTAATTAATTTAATTAAACTAATTTAACTACCTACTATTAATTAATTAATTCATAATATTCATTAATTAATTAATTAAATCGATTAAGTTAGTTTAATTACTTTAAATAATTAAATTTATTTAAAGTTAATTACATCTTTGTAACAAAAAAAAGTGAAACTGAAGAAAAGAAGTCAATAAAAAGTGGAAAAACTTACTGAGAAGATCTCTAAAAGTCGTATTATCGTGTGTCATTAAATTGTCAATTATTGTTCGCCAATAGGGCAAACAAGCAGGAGTCATTTGAAAAAATGCAGGATCGAGCAGTAATTCGAGGACATCTTTTCGCCAAGCTTTCCTCGTGTACTGATATCCCGACAAGGAACTCAAAAGCTGTGAGCAGGCAGTGAACGAAGCGATATTTTTCGTCCTATTGCAAAAAAATCCAAACAATTTAAGTTTTAGACTCAAGAAGAAAGCAATAAATTTTATTTTTGTAACAAAAGAATATAGAAAAGTGTATCAAAATATTAACAGAATAATAAAATGTTTTGAAATTAATTTTCAATTTTTAAAAATTTACAATTCTTTAAATTTAAATTCTTGAATAACTAAAGATTATTATAAAAAATGACCAAAAAAATCAATTTAATCTAATGAAGAGTCACAAATTAAAATTAAATTAAAACAAAAACGAATTAAAATTTTAAAACATTAGTCTAAATGATAAAAGGAATATTTTATTCAAGAGAACAATATTAAAATCTAACATTAATTTATTACAAGGAAAAATAAAAGAATTGAATGATAAAAATAATTCCGGGAAAATTCGAAATATTCAAAATTAAAGTTAATTTATTGAAAGAAAAAGAATTAAAATCTATCTTCTATAAAAATAATCGTTGTGTTCCGGTGAACTGTTCGTAGTTTGAAGTTAGTTGTTTGCTTTTTTGTTTCGTAATTTTTTTTAATAATTTTTCTTATTTTCAATTTTAAAATTAATATATTGATGTAAATTAATATAATTCTTCTCGTGAAGAATTTTATTAAAATTTTTTGAAAATTCCAATTAAATTCTTTTGAAGAATTTCATTTAATTTTTTTAAATAATGCAGTTTCTTTAATAATTTTAATTAAAATTTTTGAAAATAATTGGATTTTATGAACAATTTCTTTCAAGTTTTTAAAATAATCGTAATTGTTAATAATTGAAATTAAGCATTTAATTTTTGAATTTTATTAAAATTTTAGAAAATAATTTAATTCTTTTGAAAAATTTTACAACGAATTGAGAAAAAAATTTAATTCTTTCGTGACATTTTTTTGAAAATAATTGAATTTTTGCAGATTTTATAACGATTTAAGAAAATAATTGAATTCTGTCTTGAAATTTTTTTGAAAAAAAACTATTTACAAATGTAATTGAATTTTTTCGAAGAATTTAAAAAAATTTTAGAAAATAATTGAATTTTATTGAAATTTTTTATAACGAATTAAGAAAAAAATTAAAGTCTTTCATGAAATTGTTTAAGATATACTTAAATAATTGAATTTTTTCGAAAAATATTATTAAAAATTTTTTTAAAATTGAATTATTTTATGAAATGTTATTAAAATTGAATTAAAAATAATTGAATTTTTCCAAAGAATTTTACTACAAATTTATAATTAAAATTAAATTGTTTCGTGAATGTTTTTTTAAATATAATTGAATTTTTGCAAAGATTTTACTATTTAAAAAAATAATTGAATTGTTTCAAAGAATTTATTAAAATTTTAGAAAATAATTGTATTCGTTCCTGAAATGTTATTAAAATTTTGTTTAAAAATAATTGAATTTTCGCAAAAAATTTTACTACCTATTTATAAAAATAATTGAATTCTTACGAAGAATGTTATTATTTATGAAATAATTGAATTCTTGTGAAGAATTTTATTAAAATTTTTAAAATTAATAAACAAGAATAATTAATTAGTAAATTAGTTAATAATTGAATTTTTTTAAAGTTTGAATCTGAAATTATTGAAAAATTCATATTTGAAAATAAAAAATTTTGCAATTTGCTTATAATAATAATAAATTGAATATCACGTTTCGCGGGTAACATTTGTTAGTTAGTTATAAACAAGGAAGGAATAAAAAATTAAAAAGAAATAAAGATAATTCAATTAAAATACGCAGTAATTTTCGAAAACTAACTAAAAAGTAAAATTGAAATTTTTTTAAATAAAAAAAATTAACCGAATTGAAAAGAATATAATTTTAACCCTCGGAGAACACATGGGGTCATTCTGACCCCACGTTTTTTTACGAAAAGCTTTTTATCTATTGTTTAATGTTCTTTATAAGGATTTTAAAGTATACAGACTTATTTTACAGAGTTTAAACTATATTTAAAAAAGTTCTTCAGTCGGATCAGAAATGAAAAGTTTAAAATTCGTTGAACTTTGAAAAATGATCTAAAAAAGAGGTGTGTTCTCCGAAGGTTAAGATGAAATTAAAATAGAAAAAAAATTACTAACGTGTGATTTTTTAGGTACGGTGTAACGTTATACATAAGATTCGTCAATAAAGTTGCGACTCTCTCCTTTTCCTGAGAACCATAACTAACGTCCAATAAAGGTGCTAAAATTTCTGCGAGAACAGTTTGGGCTTGAACACTGTAGGCAGAATTTGGCGGTGTTCCAGGCGTGACTAGAAAAGAAAAACAAAAATAAATTTTTTTTCGTATAATATTTATCTATATATCTATCTAATATTGATATACTCACCGGCACCGCTTTTTCCCTCTTTTCCTTCGGACGTTACCTCGGCAGCATCGAATGCGTCTTCTCGTACTGCCAAATTTCTCCTCAGCCACGTTGTTTGCTCCAAACATGCGCCGGCAATTTGCGAACACGATTCAATTAACTGCAATTTAGAAAAGAAAATTTTAAATACATAGTCAAAGAGCAATATAGTTTGATAACAAAAGGTTGTTTTCTAACCTTTGCAGAAATATCCTGCAAATCGCGAATATCCTTCTTCTCTTGCATCGGCGGACATTTTTGTACGTATTCATTGAGAATAGCGAGGAGGAGAAACTGTGCCGGTGCCGTTAGTGATAAACCATCTTTTAATAAACCAAGCAATGATGTCCACGATTCAATGAGCGACTGGGAATTATTACTTTGCATGTAGACGTAGAGTAATTCCAAAACTGAAACTTCCAGTGAAAAATCCTGTTTTACACCCTGAATTGGAGGTGGACCTTTCACAACTTGTTGCACCGTTTGAACTAAAGTGTCAAATGGCATCACACGAATTGCGCTCACTAAATGAACAATCACTTGCTGATTTGGACAAGCCTCCGGAATTACCTGCAAAAATAAAGAATTAATAGTTTCAGCGCAACGTGATGTGACACAACTTCAACTGTCTACTCCTAAAGTTTAATAAATCACTAGATAAAAATAGTCAAGAAAGGATAAAAAATAAATTACTCTTTTCGTGTTGACCGAAGGTAGTCGCCTCTCGTGCCAAGCAACGGCGACAGCAGCAAGAAAGTTCACTCCGTGATGAAAAGAAATTGGCGACAGGAGTTCAAGAAGTTGGTGCTTGACAACTCTCGGACTTCCAACAACGCAACTTGCTTGTTCGCTGAGAAAGAAGAAAAACAAAAAATCAAAAAAGTCCCCAAAAAATTACTAATTCTTACGCAAACAAAATGTATCAAGGAGCCGTTAATTAATTCTAACATTTAGAACCAAATAGTAGTCAAAGTTCTCAAGATGTGGTCTTCGGTTAGTGTTCGAATCTCCTACTTATTATTAAATGTTTATGTTAACAGAAACTTCTCAAAGGTAGACAATTTCACAGCAACATGTAGAGAGAATATATTTGTTAAAATAAGTATAAATAATTCCATTAAATCATATCCTATTTTTATAATCTTTACTACTAAATCTTAACACGAAGTAAGGAAAATCCTATCAGCTATTAGCAGTCACCACTGCTGAGATGTTTGCAGAGACAGCGAATTTTTTGTGGAGACAACCAACAAAAGTGAAAAAGTATATGTCCGCCGTTATAGCAAAACTTTTTGATCTTACAACAAACTTGTTTAAAAAAGTTGTCTGTGGCTACTAAAAATTCGGTGACACAGCAAACCTTGTCTCTTCTTAAAGCGATGTACAATAATTTCCAGAATGCAAACAAGAGCCGACAAAACGAATCCGATAGCAAGAATAATAATTAATATATAACTCAAAGCCAACTCCACTTTCTCAGAATTGTCGATTTGGGTTGATGAAACTTTCGTATCAGTAGAGTAGGCTTTCTTCCACTTATTACTAAGTCCACTCTCGATAATTCTTTGAATTACTCGATCAAATCGTTTGGCGTAAGGCGTGCCAGCACCAAGAAAAGTTGCTGCAGGGCCAGTCAGAAAATCAGCCTTTAGAAATTTTACAAACTTTTGTCCACTCTCTGACAAATTTTGAAGAATGTAAACTGCTTGTGCGTTCCCGACAATACAGGAAGTATTTTTAAATTTCAATAAATAATCCAGGCATTCAAATTCAACAACATCCTCAGTTATTGCTTTTTCTAAAATTTGATGCACTACTTCATCAAGAGTGCTTTCCATTGCAACTTTATTGTTCTTTGTAATTTTTATCGGCAAATCCGAGTTAAGAACATCGGTCAGATTTTCGAACTTGAAGGAAGACTTTGTTTCTACTTGTGCATCCATTATGGATGAAAAAATATCGGATGAGAACATGAAACATCCGATAAGAAATGTTCCGAAAATGATTCTTTCCCGTGTTGTTGCCGGCTCTTGAGGTGTGCATGTTCCTAAAACAATTCGTACCAAGTAGTCGATTTTCCACTTTCTTTTCTGAAACCGCATTGCTCTTGACAGAATCCAAAGAATAACGGGAAAAATCAACACTAGGAGGATATTAATTAACTGCATGTGGACTTTTACAGCTGGTCTATCATTCTTTACAAGAGGTACAATCAATGTAAAATCAATTGTTTGTAAACCTTTACTGAATTCAATGCCTCTGCCATTGCACAAACCTCTAAATCTTTCTAAGCCCATCATCTGAACTTCATTAGTAAAAAGGGCTCGAACAACACCCGAGCTACCTTCTATTTTACACGTCAGATTACCAAATTCTGAAAGTGTTGATTCCACGAGCGTGAAGTTCATCATTTCTTGCAAACACTCGATTTTCGAGATTGATAATCCAACATTCTTGTCTGACAAATTTCTTTTTGGTAATACGTCTGGAGGAATTGGTAACAGAGATACCTTCAGTTGATAGCCATGCATATTCTTCAGCTTATCTGGAAACCACACTGTTTTAGCAGTAACCCTTCTGTTGGTAATTTTTTCTGAAAAAGGATTGTACTGAAGTACTTTGTTAGCCTTTTTGGGATAAACTTTTTCGGTATTATTCAAATTTGTTTCATTAATAAATTTACCCATTTCAACGACAGTAACATCCAGAAATTGTTGCTCCCAGAGAGTTTCAAAAAATTGCCGATAATTTGTAATCTTTTGGTAAACAAGTAGCAAGCATTTTGGTCGTCGTTTTGCTTCTGATAATTCGGTCAGAAAATCAAATGATCTTGAAAATTGAGGATCATCGTTCGAACCCGTCAGAATAAATAGCGAAATTCGTGGATTATGCGTAATAAAATCCGACGTCGTTGGTTTTCTTGATTTTGGTATACCAATTTTCCGAACTGGAATGTTTCTGCTCAATTTTTGAATCAATTTGTCGAGAACTCTGATTGATGATACAATTTTGTCGTCAATCAAAAATGTAACCTGATGTATTTGTTGATCGTTCTGAATACTTTTAGAGAAACCTTCAATCCATTTGCCATCATTATATCCTTTTACAAGTCCACTAAAAATTATTAATCCCATGTGGGATAATAATTTCGGCAACATATTTAGGGTCACTTGTGAAGATAATGACAAGGATATAATTCAGATAATATTAAATTGAAAAAGCATTTTTTTAACTTATAAATATTAATTGCAAGCCAAGTTGCAAAATCTTTCGTAACAATGTGATTTATGCAAGCAACATTTTGCTTGTCTTTGAATGCGAAAATTTTATATAGAAGCTAAACAGGAAATAAATCGATAGTAAATAATGGGTGTTACATCATAAATTATTTTTTTTTATCAGTGGAACCCATAAGGAAATTTTTTTTCTTTTTGATGTGCAAGTACGATAAAATGTGAACAATTTTCTAAAAGGTCAAGAAGATAACAATCTTTTGTACGCACGGAAAAACTTTATTTAAGGAATATTACAAAATTTGTTCAATGATTGAGGATATGAGAATAATTTAATAAAAATAGTTAGAATGAAACGGACCTGCGTAAACATTAAATGTTTTGTAAGAAATATAGAATTATTTCAAACTTTCTCTGAACTTATTTCTAAAATTTTATTTTTATCTTTTCCTAAAATATTAAAACGGATTCAATTACAGTTTCAGAAAAATAGAGAAACAGTTTTATCTATTATAACGGTGAACAGAGACCTATCTTACAAATAACACTAGACTCAGTCTCCGTGCACTGCGCGTAATGTCATTTGGAAGATGTACAGAGGAATGTCACATATATAAAATTACTAAAAACTTGTGCTAAAGTTGAGCATAGATCATTCATGACAAAATCCTCGTTATTATCAAACATTAAGAAGGAATAACGATTTAACAAATTGAAACTGATGGTCTTACATTTGATGCGATTAACTTAATTTTCTCATACGCAATTGAGAGGTTAGATGCCATAAAAGAATCCGCATCATATAAAGTAAATGGCGCGTATCCCATTATAGCATCCACCTCTCCAATTGTGTAGCATATAAAAAAATAAACAAATTCTCGTGTAACTAATTTCTTATATTATACACTACTAATTCAAAAAAGAACACTAGAGACGAACAAAACAATCCAGTAACAAGAACCAAAATAAAAAGCTGACGAAAACTAATTTCTTTCTCTTGACTGGAAACACTGGATGTCAGTTGCTTTAAATTGTTTTTTCTAGAAGTGTATGCTTCCTTCCACTTATTACTAATACCACTGTCGATAATTCTTTGAATTACTTGATCCATACGTCTAGCATAAGGCGAACCAGCGCCAAGAAAAGTTGCTGCAGGTCCATTCAGAAATCTACCCTTTAAAAACTTTACAGCCTGTGGCCTACTGTTTGTCAAATTTTGAAGCATGAATTCTGCTATTGCATATTCAGCAATACAAGAAGTATTCTTGTACTTCACTAAATAATCCAAGCATGTAAAATCAGGATTTCTTACAGTGATTGCTTTCTTCAGAATTTGTTGCTCAATGCCATCAACAGTGTTTTCCATCGCAACTAGATTGTTCGGTGCAATTATAATCGTCAAATCCGAGTTCAAAACATCGGTCAAAGTTTCGTACTTGAAGGTTGTAACTGTTTCTAGGTGTGCCTCCGTTATGGATGAAATAATATCCGATGAGAACATTAAACATCCGATAAGAAATGTTCCGAAAATTATTCTTTCCAGTGTTGTTACCGGCTCTTGAGGAGTGGATGTTCCTAAAACAATTCGTATCAAGTAGTCGATTTTCCACTTTTTCTTCTGAAACCGCATTGCTCTTGACAGAATCCAAAGAATAACAGGCAAAATCATCACTAATAAGATATTTACTATTTGCATGCTGAATTTTACTGATTGTTTGTCTTCTCTCATAAGAGGAACAATCAGTGCAAAATCAATTGTTTGTAAACCTTTACTGAATTCAATGCCTTTGCCATTGCATAATCCTCTGAATCTTTCTAAACCCATCATCTGAATTTCATTAGTAAAAAGGGCTCGAACAACACCTGTGCTACCTTCTATTTTACACGTAAGGCTACCAAATTTTTGAAGTGTTGATTCGACAAGCGTGAAGTTTATCACTTCTTGCAAACACTCGATTTTCGAGATCGATAATCCAATATTCTTGTCTGACAAATTTTCTTTTGGTAATACATCCGGAGGAACTGGTAACAGAGATGCCTTTAGTTGATAGCCATGCATATTCTTCAACTTCTCCGGAAACCAAACTGTTTTAGCAGCAGTAACTCTTTGTTTGGTAATCTTTTTTGAAAACGGATTGTACTGAAGCACTTTATTTGTCTTTTTAGGATAAAATTTTTGGGTATTATTCAAATTTGTTTTATTAATAAATTTACCAATTTCAATGACAGTAACATCCATAAATTGTTGCTCCCAGAGAGTTTCGAAAAATTGCTGATAATCTGTAATCTTTTGGTAAAGAACTAGCAAGCACTTCGGTCGACGTTTCGCTTCTGATAATTCTACCAGAAAATCAAATGATCTTGATAATTGTGGATCATCGTGCGAACCCGTAAGAATAAATAGCGAAATTCGTGGATTATGTGTAATAAAATCCGACGTCGTTGGTTTTCTTGATTTTGGTACACCAATTTTCCGAACTGGAATGTTTCTGCTTAATTTTTGAATCAATTTGTCGAGAACTCTGATTGATGATACAATTTTGTCGTCAATCAAAAATGTAACCTGATGTATTTGTTGATCGTTCTGAATACTTTTAGAAAAACTTTCTATCCATTT